TTCATTTTGTTGTCCAAGGTGATGCCCTGACCAGTGATGGTATTGAAGAGCATATTAATTTCAGCAATTTTTGCCATAATGTCATCCTTGGGTTTGATTTGAATTTTGATGAGCTGCTCCAACTCCATAAACATAGTCATGGCAGATGGTTTGCCATATTCTGCCTCTAGATCATCCCACTTTAATTTTGAAGTGGCATGAGGATTGACCAAAAGAGCAATCATAGGATCACAATAAAGTGTGATGCAGCCTCGTGCTCTAGTGTTGGAGGTGGTCCAGACACAAATGAAGTACGGTGCCTGCTCCTTCAGGTAGTCATATATGCGCTTGTATTGTTTGCATTTCTCAGGGTTGCTGTGATCATAAGAACATTGCATATATGCTGTTAAATGTTGTACTTATGCTTTTCTAAGGATCTTATTGTGGGCCTTTCTAGCACTTTCATCATCAGGGTCATCAGTACCACTCGCTGTATCGTCTGCTTCGAGGGCATGGGAGACTTGAATGACTTCATTCAGGTTACAGTACATATCAAACGCGTGGGGAATCCATCTTGCTGCATGGAGACACTGATCTCGCAGGGTAGAAACAGCGCAATCCTGCGATTTCTTCGACTTTGTCCTATCCACAGTCACATCAGCTGGAGAGCACTGCATCATCAGGGTTGGAACTTACTTTGACTTATTAATCTTCCCATTATGGTGGTGTCTTGAGGATGTTTGAGCACTATCAGATTGATTGCTGTCAGATTCAGAACTATCAGAAGTAGGGTCAGGCTTGCACGGATGTCGCATAGACATTGAGGTAGGACAGAAGGAGCAAGTCAGCAAATGCTGAACTCACTTGGTCCCCTTCGTACACTGATCTTCATGACTAATGTCACTGTTAACTTGTTCTTTTGAAGTTTCTGGGATGCATCATTGAATGCTCCTTGAGTAGTTCAAACTTGGTATGTTTTTGTTCATGTCACCCATCTAAGTCGACTGATGGTGGTTCACAGTAATTTGTACTAGAAATATAACTATTCACCAATGTCTCTGGCATTCATTTTAATCTGTTCGAGTTGCCCGAAATCCAACTCCCTCCTTCTGAAAATTCTGATGTATAGCTGCTTTGGATGTGATGCTTTCTTCAAGACTCAGAAGCAGCTCTTGGCACACACACCCCAGTGTCCTGAGTTCTGTGAGGTATCGCACCAAGTATTCCATCTTGAATGCACAAGACGTCCGAAAAGAACTCGTCAAGCTGATGCTGAACCCTGCTTACTGGTTCCCCCGATGACATACCAGCAGGAGACTTGGATGACTATGATGCGCTAGCTACTAATATCGATGTAAGTTATTGTCCATATATCTGCAACTATGACAACTGTCATATGCGCAGTTTATGATGGAGGTTGCCCCGGGGGCGGACCAACCAGAGCCGGTTCTGTCCCATCAGTCTGGTTGGCACATTCACATGCCCACTCGCTTTGTTGACTTCCTTCCTGGAAGTTCAACCCACCTCGTGCACATGCCTCTCTCAGCCGCTCAGCTACGTTCTTTGAGGCCTGACTCACCAGTTCCGTCTTTGCCCGAGTCCACCCGGTCCGATACACCTGCTACACCACGTCTCGAGCCGTTCACAACTGACCCAGACACATTTGGACTATACCATGTCTATGCCAACCGGCCAACTCATATACCTGCTGAGTCACTTGGGAGTGTTTGCGATGCTCCAGGCCTGGACAGCCCATTTCCACCTACTTGCACCACTGACCCAGTGTCTATGGGAGTTCCAGGTTTTGAAGGTGGCTGCACACATGCGGCCACATTTGCTCCTTTCACCAACCTCACATGTGGTATTTTGATGGCTTGGCAGTATTCGGGAACTAACCAGAAGTCCGCTGCAGAACTCGACCAGTTGGCCCAGTTCCTGGCTTACCCCCTCTGCAATCCAAGGGAGCTCACCGGTTTCCACCACTCACGTGAGGCCAAACTACTTGACAAGTTCTTGGCACGAACAACCCATTTGAGGAAGAATATGGATGGCATCGATCTGCTGTCACAGTTCGCCTACCAAATGAAAAGTCGAAGTGGCCATCTGAGTCAGCTGCCCCCGAAATGATTATCGATGGAGTCTGGCATTGGGACCTCATTGACATCATCACAAGCGCCTTTCAAAGTGAACAGTTCAAGACATTCCACACTATGCCATTCAGACAGTGCTGGCAGGTTAGTGATGATTGTGTAATTGACATACTTTCAGAAGTCTACTCCTCACCGGAAATGCTTCATGCACACAAAGACGTCAATAAACTGCCTTGTGAACTGGACAGGAGACCTAGAACATGTTGTCACGTGCCTGATGCTTTGGTCAGACTCAACACCCCTTACCAACTTCGGAGACACATCAATGTGGCCATTTTATATGTATTTTGGGAACCAGTCGAAGTACCTAAGAGGGAAGCCAACAGCCATGGCATGTCACCATGTCGCTTACATTCCGAAGGTATGGTAGCTCCTGTAGCTGGTATGTCACATTTGTGCTTATCCCTCACAGCTTCTGGACAACTTTCAAGATATCTATAGGGGACATTATGGTCAAGTGTCCTCCAGGGAGATTCTCACTCATTGCAAGTGTGATTTATTCCACGCCATTTGGGACTTAATCCTTGACACACAGTTCATGGATGCTTACCAAAGTGGTATAGTCATATGGTGTGCTGACGGGATCACATGGCAGATATATCCCCACTTTTTCTCTTATTCAGCCAATTACCCAGAAAAGTCAGTTTGCTGTTGGTCACTGGGGTGCCATACTAATGCCATCCTAAGGGTCTTGGTGGCAGGAATCGAAATTTCTTGGTAAATGTGCCTGTCCGTGATGTCTTGTAGCGAAAAAGTCATTTTTGAAGATGGGCATGGCATGCGATATGTGACACTGTCAGGCATGTTCAGATGGACAGTATTGAATGGCAGGGGCGCATCAGTCGGGGATGCAAGCTCATATTCCAGAAAGGTGCAGCCGTCAATGGAAAGCGAGTGGGATATCAACTGGACGAGCACTCCTATGTTCTGACGACGGTCAGTGTTCAGTGTAAACTACATATAGAAGACTGCTGAATGGAATCTATTTAAGAATGTGTTCTCTGAACACCTGCTACAATTCATGGTTAACTTTTTCCTCCTTCTGGTCGTGGACCAGCTCCATGAATTCGAGCTTGGTGTATGGAAGGCGATTTTCACACACCTACTACGTGTTCTCTTTGCAGCAGGAGGTGATGGTATACAAGAACTCAATAAAAGGTAAGTACTTGTCTCATAATGATTCAACCAATCCCAATCTCCACTTGCATGTTCGTTACTAAATACATTCACCAGATTTCGAAACATCCCTACTTTTGGTCACGGAACGATTCAGAAGTTTGCCCACAATGCATCAGCCATGAAGAGACTCGCAGCACAAGACTTTGAGGACTTATTACAGGTTCATGTGAGCCAGAGACAAACATCATCTACCTATTTGACTTTGCCTGGATTAGTGCGCTATGCCTCCCTTCGAAAATTTGCTGCCAGAGCCTCACAACAGTCGCATACTCAACCTACTATTCAACCTTGCTACTTGGCATGCATATGCAAAACTTCGGCTCCATACATCTGACACACTAGACTTGTTTGACTCTGCAATGGTCTCTCTAGGTCAGACGGTCCATACTTTCATGAAACGACATGTGAGTACTACGACACACGTGAACTACCACAAGAGACAGCTGTCCACAGCTGCCATACCGCAGCAATGGCAGTAAAGACCGGTACATTGAGCTCAGCTGGGTTATCTGGACCCAAACACAAATCCCTCAATCTGCAAACGTACAAGTTCCACGCCCTAGGTGACTATCCAAACACGATCCGACAATGTGGTACAACAGATAATTATACAACACAACCACTAGGATTGTTTTCGCACAATTGTAAAACACTTACAGATGAATTTCATAGGGTGAATTTGAACACAGGCAGTTGAAGCGGTGGTACCCACAAACTTCGAAGAACCATGCTACAACAATGGCATCCATGAGCAAACACGAGGCTCGAGAACGAGTTATTGACCGAATAGTCAAGTCTCTGGATAAATTGGCATGCAATGACACTGAAGGAAGTGAAAGCGGTGGTGAAAACCGCCCAAGGCAGAAACATGAGAGGTCTTCACCTTCTCAACATTATCACATTGCAGCATCATCACGAATTCCTGTGGACATCCCTGGTTGGCTGGGTTTGTTGGCAGGTGACAGAGCCACTGAGGTATGTCATCTGGTGTGCATGACTGCGTGCAACCAACTAACTCTTTGCAGGACTTTGTTGACCACCTCAAAGACCATCTCCTTGAATGCATTCTTGGAGTGGACTACACTGGTGACCCACCAAGCTTTTCTGACACCGACCGTGACAATCTTATCATCTCACATAATATGATGTATGAGCATCAGACATTGCATGTCAACTATACGACCTACAACCTCTGCCAGGAACAAGACACCATTAATCCACGCACTCGTGCTGACATCATGCTCTTGTCACATGAGACAGATGGTTGTCGTCACCCATATTGGTACGCATGCATCATTAAAATTTTCCATGTCAATGTACAGTACTATGACAACAATGCCTCATCTGATGGGATAAAGCAGATGAATGTGCTCTTTGTGCGGTGGTTCAGCCATGATAACAGCAGACCAGGGGGATCAGGGTTTGCTGCACGCTGACTGTATCAGGTAGGATTCATTTCCAATGATGACCCAGATGCGTTTGGGTTTTTGGACCCAGATGTAGTCATTCGTGGCGTCCATCTGATTCCAGCTTTCTCGCTCAGACAAACATCTGAATATTTAGGACCATCGTTCGTGTGGCCTGATGAGGACCTCCATGAGGACTGGCAATATTTTGATGTTAACATGTAAGTGAGGAAATAAATCGGCATGGATGTGTACTTAAAGCTCAGATAGGTTTGTTGATTGAGATATGTTCATGCGGTTTCGAGGTGGCAGCATCGGGCATAAGGTATCCAGGGAGTGGGATTCCTTCTTACAATTGGATTGTCAAACCGCTGGTGAGGAGGTCAGTGGCACGTGCAAAGAAGCTGATACAGTGCAAGGAGCCGAGGAGGACAACAAGATGAGTGGAGAAGAGGAAGATGATGATACAGACCTGGACGAGGATGAGGGAAGCTCCAGCAAGCCTGACGATGACAAATTGGACGATAATGATGGTGAAATGGTGGCAGGCCTCGATGATAATGAGAACTTGTATGCCCAGGAGGGATATGGGATGCTTTAGTCACTTGTCATTTTCATTCAAAGTCAATGATTTCGTCTTCTTAGATGCCTCTCAGCTTGAATGTGTACACATATATTCATGTTAAATCATCATATATTCGACGTCATTTCTCAATTATAGTTACTTTGTAATTTGCATTACTGGAATTTGCCAATCTGCTTCCAAGTGGCAGTGGCCATTGTGCTTCCGACATGGGGCCTTACTACAACAGGGTAATAATGGCAGGCGAAATCAGGGCAACAACCGTCAACATGCTTCAAGATGTCGTCTACCTTGAAATCAATGGCGCCCTTTCATCCTGGAACATGCATTACTTCAATGTCAACATCACCACCCCTGGCAGGAAATGAGTCATGTTTCATCTGAAAGATGTCTGCAGTAGATAACACAAGCTATCCTTTTACATTTAAATGTGTATTCTAATTGATCCCCTATCCCAGGAAGCCTTGTCATGATGTTGCTATACAAACAGACAGCAAGGAGACAAAGGAGCAGGCCACGCAAGCCAGTGACCCCTCCCTCACCCAAGCTGACGATACTACACTCACAGTAAAGTGTGAGCCTACATTGCGAGACATGGAGAATGTAAAGTTTAGGTGTGCCATAGGGTATTCTTTGTGGTTTCTCTACTGATGTCTGCTCACAGCCCATGCTCTGCAACTCCCTGCCAGGTATTCAAGCAGCACTCACCCTCTGAATATTTTGTCACTCCCCTTGTTCCTCCGGTCATTGTCAATGAGCTTGCTATGGCACACAAGAAGCTTAAACGTCACCGGAGCTCCTCTTAGATTTTCAATTTCCCTCTCAGTACAGATTACTGTAAAGTGTAACTATGTTTTACTACCAAGCATGTCGTAGGAGTGCGTTCTAATGAAGCGATTGGCAAGGCCCAGAACAATGAACTTGTGGTGATATATATATTCATCAATATGTACAGGCATGTGTGGTAGACACAATATATAGTAACCAGCGCACACTAGGTGTTGATGTAGATCGATAAATGCTATGTCGTTGCCTCAGCAATCGACAGGACATGCAGGGGTGCACTGGTATCACGAGACTGACTCGCTGGCGCGTCAGCGGCACAGCCACTCGAAAATATATTCCTTATTGGGCAATAGCGGAGTTTGACAATTTTGGTGATGACGGATGTTCTGTTACCTGAAAATCACTCAACACTGCTGCTACTCCATTATCACAACCAAAAATAATAGTCGAGCACCAGCATGGATCCCAGAGAATGGAGAGTATCGGGACCGGAGTGCAGACGATGCACACCACTTCCCCACTACTGACACATCACACCATCAGTGAACAGTCGTCACTACCACTTGCAAGGTAATCGACCTGCAGGTGAGAATGCTAGACAGTTCACAGTATCAGTATGGCCTCTCAGGCTTTTATCCCATATGTATGGAGTGGAGAGCATCAGAAAATACTTGTGAAATGTTAGCAAATCACCAGCGATTTGAGGGAACTCGCTCCTTTTGTAAGAAATCCAATCAAACTGCCCTCACAGCACACAAGGTAGCATGACATAATACGATACTATGCACCCTAAAAGACGCGCCACAGATGTGATTTTGTGAAGAGTCGAAATAGCTGTGTATGCAGTATAGCACAAGCAAATCCCAAGACATGATGTGTGTATCGCAGGCAAGTCGCTCTGATATCCTTTGTGCTATGTGAATCTGTGAAGAGTTGAAATGGTACATGCATCGCAGGACTTGTTGATCCTTTGTGTTGAGCAATATCACAACCAGCAAAACATGTGAATCATGAGACTAGGACAGGCCAGCAGGCCAATATCGGAAGGACCAGATGTTCAGCGACAATCAAGCGATGACAAGACAATGGCCGCATGTCAGGGATGGTGACACAAACAGAGACCCAATAATTTTTGCAGGAGGAATTGAAAGCAGGCTCTGCGCTGTAGCTCTGCTGTTGCCGCTATCGAGAAAAACTTGAAAGGCTGTTTGCTCAGCCTATAAGTATGGCACCACCGTTGAGCATGACTTACTGTCAATAGCATCCCAAACCTCTACTCCAATGCCTGCTATCCAATCTTCTACACAAACTCCCCAGCATTCCCCACGTAAACACCAGCCAGCACTCAAGCCAGCACCAGCTCCTGCGATTCCACCGGCGACAGTTGCAGATCGTTTTCTTCATGATTTGTTGCAGAAAGTGGAGCAAATGACAAAGTTCTTTGAACTGGAAGTGATACATTCTTGGGAGGTGAGTATTACCTCTGATCCTCCAGCCCAATGCCAAAGTCCTGACTGTCCATAGGAGAAACAAGCTGCTGAGGACACACAAGTTGCTGCTCAGAAAGCCGAGGCTGATGCGAAGGCCACAGAAGGGAAGATACATAAACATATGGCAAAGGTGAAATCAGTTTACCTACCTATGCAATCACTGAGTGCATTGGTGTTGCAGTTTGCTGCCATCCATGCCAGGGCAGTCAAGTGTCCCATGTGCAGGAATTGTATGGATTGTCCATTCACGTGAGTGCTCAATTCACGTGTGACGTTATGTAATCATCCCACTGTATCAGGCTGGTCGAATGTGGCCATTCACTTTGCTTTGGCTGTCTGAGGACATGGTTCCACAGATGTTTACTGGATCAGGTAGGCTGGAAGGATATCCCTGCTCACTTAAAGGAGAAGCCTATGATGGCTGCGAAGCTCAAAGAGCTGCACAAAAACAAGCACGTTTATATCCCTTGGTATACCTGTCCTGTTGTAACTTGCCAGACTTTTGTGGATCGCAAGCCTATCGAGGTAGCTGTCGCAAAGCATATGATCGGTGTGGTCAATGCTGTGGTTGGAGCTCCTGTAGGCCAAGTCGATTCAGGCCTGCTTCTCCAGCATGGCAACATCTGGGCGGATGTCTTTTATGAAGAAGACATAGAATAAATGGCGAGCACTGCATGATATGCATATTTGATCTGTCATACACATCCCTTACGGCTTCAGCATATGTTCTCACAATATGGGCACCATAAGGCAAATTGCTTCGATTTCTGTGAGTCGGCCCACTCTCCGCCTTACCACCCTCTTCTGAATTCCCCCGCTTTCCAACCAGAGTCGCTCAAGAGTCACATGCATTGGGCATCTGTAATCGGATGAGGTACACTACTTATCATTCCAAAGTGTCTGTCATGCCCACATTCCCTAGACAGTCATTGCTACCACTTTGCCCACTATCGTGTCTGAGCTTGGTGGTGGGAGGAACTATAGTTGGGTCGGAAGGTAGTTTAGGTTGCTGGCACCGTTGGTAAGTAATAACTCCTTCGACGTTACTCATTTTCCAGGCCTTAATCAACTTTTCACAACTACGAACATCCAAAGCTCATTGACTACCTCTCCATGCGTCTCCCATTTCTGGAGTTGATGGTGTTATGTGCCTGACCTCTACCTCCCCGAACATGCTTGCAGTTTTCCAAAATTGGGAAGGTCATGCGACACATTGCTGCATTATTTGCAGAAAAAGTACCCTGAGATGAGGAATCCCACCCCCGAACCTGCTATGTCGACAGTAGCAGCTGCAGAAGGGGAGAATGGTGATGCAGCAGGGGATATATCTATGCTGTCCATTGTATGAACGCTCTATCGTGAGGTCCCATTTATGATCCTACATCGTAAGTTTTTTGCAAGCTGATCACACCTGCTTTAAAGTTACCCTGCAACTAGAAAGTATAGTGTTTCCTCATTAGCAGCACAATGTACATACTTCATTATGATGACTGATCACATCAAGTCTGTTCATACATATATGTAGGTTACTTTGTAGTGTGAGAAATCAATTCATTACTGTCAGACCCCATTTTATATTAGAGCAAGAACCAAAGCATTATTTTTCAATATATAATGGTGTAGATTCGTAGTCTCCCATAGGCAGACCAAAGGCAAGAAAATCGTTCTCCCAACTATGGTAGACTCGTGACCTTGTAACATCTGTTTTCGTTGGCTCTTATGTAAACACCATTCCTCTCATCCTGCCCCCCGAGTGGTGCAAGAGTGGCACACGTTGGGCATCCATAGTCGTCATACCTGCCATTCTTATCAATTTGTCCTGGACATCCAAGATCACCCTCAAGCCAACCGTTGAACAAAGATTGTTTTACCATGGTTGTATGGTCTTTAATGGTCTGGTCTTTATGTTTAGATTGTTTGAATTGCCTTTGTTTCTTAGGGCACAAGGCTGTCGAGAGCACTGGACCCGGGATGTGAATTTGGGTATTTATTCCGCTCACTGAGTGGCTCCGTTCCATGCTACTTCCATGGAACAAGAACCACACGAATATGTGGGCACAGTACATTTTCAATCGCACTACCATGAACATTTACTCACTCTGCATGGGGCCAGACACCAGGCACTGAAGAGCCTCCAGATGGGCACAAATCCTCATTGGCTGGATTGGTGCAGAGAGTCCCAGAATCAGTGGGGGGGCATCAGCAAGAGGTATCACCTGGATCTGAATGTGAAGTAGTCGAGGAACTGGCACCCGTAAGGACAAAGTGTGGCCCCAAAAAGCAATGGACAAGTGGGTATCACCTTCCTAAGTCCCTGAAGGCCAATAAGGATGCTGGCTTGGAAGTGGTATGTGTGGTGTGTTTTATTTGCTGTATGAATTTTTGCATGTCAACAGTCTGCAGGTACCTGATCCCCTGCCTCATAAAAGTCGCCTCTGAGAACTGGTGGAGAGACAGCATTCCACTAGGCTAGCTGAGCACTGACCAGGACTCAGATCGATTCTGCATCGTGAATCACTATTCCTTGGCAAGCAATTCTGGATCGATTCTGCCTATGCCAGTCATGGGAATGGTCCACATGGCTACCCTGCACCATTTGCAATCTTTTGGATTCTGATGACACCACGTCACCTCAGGTGAAGTTTTCATCACTCAAGGCAAGCACTCTTCTGATTTTATGTTCAGGTTTGTTCAACTGCCAACAGTGATATGCACTTTAATGGAGTGCCAGCAACTCCAGTAGAGCAGTCTAACAACAGTGATGTTCAAATATCTGTGTGAAAGGTGAACAAAATTAACTCTTCCTGCACTCAGCCACTAATGAACTTCGTCATTAGGCTTTGGTCTCGAATGATCATAATCCTCGTCGGCATATCAGCCTGGACCCAGCAGAGCAGTCGATTCACTGTCATGCTCAGATTCCCATGTACTGGACGTCGGCGCAACAGGTGAACGAAAAGAAATCTTCCTGCACTCGATCACTAATGGCCTTCATTGTTAGGCTTTGGTCTCAAATGATCATAACCCTCTTCAGCATGTCACCCTGGATCCAACAGAGCAGTCGATTTGCCATGATGCTCAGATGCCTGCGTATCAGACATCAGCGCAACAAGTGAATGAAAAGAACTCTTCCTGCACTCAGCCACTACTGAACTTTGTCATTAGGCTTTGGTCTTGAATGATCATAATCCTCATCAGCATATCACCCCAAACCTGACAGAGCAGTTGAATTGCAGCGATGATCTGATATCCACTTTTCAGACATCTGCACGACAGGTGAGTGACAACAACTCTGCCCCCCCTTGGCTGCTGATGAACTTCATTGTTAGGCTTTGCAAGTATCTGCCTTGAATGGCTGTACTATCCCTCCTCAACATATCGTGACAGAGCTGTCTAACTATGGTGATGTTCAAATGTCTACTGAAACGCCTCATGCCATGCATCAGACATCTGTAGAGCAGGTGAAAGAAAACTGCTTTCCCCCATTGGTCCACTAATGAACTTTCTCACCAGACCTTGCAAGTGTCGAATGACCACGATTCAGACTTGACAATACACCCCGACTACAGTGATGTTCAGATGGCCACTGAGGTGCCTCTCATCTCATATCAGTGGTCTGCACAGCAGGTGAATGAATGGTGAATCTGCTCCTGCACAGTTACTAATGGACTTCCTCGCTAGGCTGGGCAAGTATCTCTCTCGAACGACTGTAACCCCTGTCAGGCCTATGGTGATATCGAGATGTCTTCTGAGGCAGCCCATGCCCTGTATCGTGCATCTGCACAGCAGGTGAGTGGGAATGCTCCACCATCACCTACCAGCTAATGAACTTCATAATTAGGCTGTACAAAGTGTACGTTTCAATGCTATTTCAGATGACATACAAAATTGGTTTCACCATCTCAAGGCCATGGGTGGATGCAAGGGACTTGTTGCTTATCAGCATGTCCTTGCAGTGTTGAGTGGTTTACAGATTTCACCATCAGCATCTCAGGAGGTCTGGTACAAGATATCTCCCTTTTACTATGAGAATACTAAGAGATGCTGATGCAACTGGTGTCATTCAGGAATGCAGTAGATACTGAGGGCCATGGATGGCTGGACCTTACTGGTTTCTCTTGTGTTCTGTTCCTTGTTCAGTCAAATGGGCATTTACAACACAGTTCCCACAACTTGGTAAGAGCTGTGGCCATGCCCATTGACATGTACTGATAGTCTTTTGCAGTTCCCTGTGGGTAACATGGAGGGGGCAAGTTTTCCCTGTTCATCGAATGTATATCCTGACATCACAAAATATTTGCAAGGCCAACCCTCAACACTGAGACCCCTTATGGGAAATGCGCATCCGCCAATGCCAATGAACCATTATCCTCATCAGTTGCCACCAAACGACTTGACTCCACATGAACACCAGGTCATGATGGTTTCCTCTACCTTCCTGCACTCGCAGGTCGACCCTGTAACAACCATGGCCCCTAGCAACCTTGCACGCCCTCCTCTGGCCTCCATTGGCACCACTGTCATAACTGTGTGTTCACACTAAGCCCTTACTCACTCCGCACCAACTCCACCCAACTTCTGTTGGTTGCGAGCCATCTCTGTTCTGACTGCTGCCAGACTTGTGTTGCTCTTCTACTGGACTGAGCAGTCTGTCCTCTGAGGGGTCATGTGACTACCTTTGCAGTCAGGTACTCTGCAGTGCACTCACCACATGGTCCAGTGCCTGGACTATTTCCTTTTCTAGATGTTCTGTGTTACCCGTTCGTATGTCCTCCGTCTACCCTTCATTTGTCATCCAGGAAATTTTACTTGAAAATTTATGAGTCTCCATATGCCAGTTCCGATTCTGATTACTGTACCTCTGTAGCAGTATAAAAGCATGTACTGTACTCCGCTGTTCTTCAGTATGAATATCAACTTAGTTCCTACTCCCTCTGACTCCATCTTCTGTCTGTCGGAGTCACCTCTGACCTTCTGTCTGTACTCTCCCTCTGAAATACAAGGGCTGAGATTGTGCAAGGGGGTAGCACAGGAGCTAAACCCAACACCCTCACTCTGCTCTGTCTTTGCTTTGGTGGACTTCGTTCCTGCCATCTCTCTGCTAGTCGGGGTTCTGCTTCCCTGTGTCGGACTTGCTTCCGAACCACTCTCTAGACCTTGTTTAGCATTGGAGTTGGTTGGAGTAGGCCTGGACTTGACAACCATGGTTGATGCCTGGATGGAGCAGAATCAAAAGACCAGTCAAATGACTGATCTCACGCTACTTGGGTCGAACCATCATATGCCTCAGGACCCCATGGGGTCATTTCAGCAACACAATACCAGGGGGCAACATGTCGTCCCATCTGCCCCCTTATCTCAGCACCTTTTTTCCACAGACAGGAGCACTGGCAGTTCCTGTCATCCCACCATTGACTCTGCACACCCCATCCAACCCCAGCAGACGGCTTCTACTTTGGGCCGACCTCTGGCTCGTGGCTCTGTAGGTGTCGTTCAACAACCAATTATGGCGCAGAATACCTTCCCTCCAGCACCTCGATTTCAATCAACAGTTCCCACATTTGAGGGTGCTTTAAACCCACCAGCCACCACTGCCCGTGAAATGAACCAGCCACAACGAGTCAACGTAGGACATGAGAAGGAGACAACACACAATGCACAGGAGGTAAGCTTTGGCTTTCTTCTCTCAATCTGTGTCTATACCTACTATGCATCAATCTAGATTCTGACAGCAGGCTCTGGCATGGGCCCGATTTTTTCACTGATGGCTGCAAGGATGTCAGAGCTGATCACAGCTGTGAATGCAAGTTCCGAGGCACACCGATGGGACATGAAGCAAATGTGCATGGAATTTGATGGATTGATGCAGCTGAATCACCAAGCTCTCAACAGCAGATCAGAATCTGGGGGTGCTCAGGCAAGCTCGCAGGGACAAAACAAGTCTGCAGGGTCCAAGCCTGTGAAGTACAGGTTTACCCTTGGGTGACCAGGCTTCAAGACCAGGAGACAGGGGCTAGTCCAAGTGGCCAAAGTCAAGGCTGGAAGTCAGGGGCTAAGTCCGGTTGGACCAGAGTTGAGGCCGGAGGTTAGGGGCTAAGTCCGGAGGACCGGACTTAAGGCCGGGAGCACAGGAATAAGACTGGTAGCATGGGAAACTGACTGGTCTTGGAGTGCACACAGGGGGAAGCTGGTCCAGGGTTGGATCTACCTCCCTTGGTCTCAGCTTATGTGCTGTACCCTTATGCAAGCCGGGGAGAGGTCCAGGACAGGGGGTCGGGGATAGCTTAAGGCTCAGCCTTAGCTATAGAGTAGTCTTGGGGTGTCATACAGGAGTTGAGGGTAATACTTAATTGATATTCTGACTGGGGTGCTATGAAGTATGTACAGGGGTTAAATACACGAGGCTGGTCCAGGATAACAAACATAGAGCTGGACTTGTGAATAAGCTATTAGTGAGATGATTAGCAAGACGAGGATAGCCACAGTGGCTATGCAGAGGCTAATAGCCAAAGTCCGGGTGACTGGCATAACCGGGGTCAGACACAGGATTTGTACAGTAAGCAGAGCCAGACGAAAGGAACAAACTAAACATAGCACAAACAAAGGAAAACAGACCGGAGTTATGTCCAGGTGACCCAGACATAGACCTGGGAGGACCGGGGTGGAGCAGTGCAAGGCCAGGAGGCCGAAGTGGACCGGAGATAGGGGTAAAACACCGGACTTGGGTTATTTAGGCTGGAGTTGGGTTTTCTAGGGCCAGAGTTGGGTTTTCTAGGCTGGACCAGGACTGGACTTGACCGGAGATAGGGGCTAGGGGTCCAGACTGGACCGGGACTGAGTCCGAGAGTCATGGACATGACAAAGCCCACTCGAAGACACAAGCAGCCCCCCTTGGAAGACAGATATCATGGAAAACCCGGTCATACAAAATTCTGGGTATGCCTTTACTCACTACAATTCTGAGTGGCTCACATTCCATCAGCAATCGATACAGAAACACTTCTTGCAATTACTGCGTATTAGTGATTATAGCTGTCTAGACCAATTGCCACTGCCCCCCTCTGACAATGAAAATCTTGCATTCAACAGGCATGACCCGGGTCGCATCAAGATAACTCCCAATGACTTCCACATCGATCTATCACACTCCCGTCAAATGCCTTTCAACATGGAGGCTATTTGTGTATTTGCCAAGGACTTCAAGAGGAAGGTAGAGGAGAGCAAATGGTATTCTTTTCCAACACCTCCACCTGCTCACTTCCTGCAGTTGGAATACATCGAGCTGTCCCTCTACCTTCACCTGCATTATGTCAAGGATGTGTACACCAACTTGAAAAAGTCAGAGGAGATGCGTCGCACCAGGCTGAGGAGTGCCGCTCGTAGTATGCGCAAAACAAGGGTACATCATTGACTGTACCTACATGCCCTCCCTTATCTTACGTGCCCCAAGCTTTATACGAGCAGGGCAGATTGTGTCACAAACAATGATGAACTTATCATTCATAATGACCTGATACAGTTAATAGGCTCTCAAGGCATCAGCTTGGACGAGTCAGGACATGGACTCAAATGGGTGCAAAGTTTATCCGATAATCCCTCCTGCTTGGCACAGTGAAGAACTGGCCGATCTTATGTGCACCATAGATTCCACAATGGTTTCTAATCGCCAGCCAAGAGTTGGACACATATCTGTTTGCAGTCAAGAACCCAGGTGCCGAGTACCCAGTAACCTCGTCAATGAGGATGTGGTGGCACCCCCGGAACTGCCACTCAACTGCTACAAGGGAAGTTGGCTGACTGTCCTTACTGCCTAATGAGAGAAAGAAACTGAATGCCCGGGTGGATAAGTGGTATAATTTCGAGAGTGGAAAAACAGGTCAGGTCATCCTCGGCTGACATGTCAGTGTTTACTGATCAAGTCCCAGAGGTCGTTGTCCCACCACATGCTGGTGCTACCCCGCCGGTGATGCAGACAGACAATGAGAACTGTGATGACACTTCCATCGAACCGGAAGATAATGACAGCAACACTGAGAGTGGGGTCGAAGACTTTACTACTCAATTAAGCTTAGACAAGGACTGAATACTGTAGAGGGCTCTGCTACTCTAAGGCTTTTTTGAATGTTGCATGATAGATAGAAATTTACAAAGATTGATTGGTGTAATACTATGTTACAAATTCCTGGACACATCCTGGTCCAAACTGTTTGTCCCCCAAGTTTCTGCCAGAAATGCTGGGCTTTCCATTCTGGGTATGCATGTAGTATCAATTCAGATAGAGTTGTTAGATGTCATTTGGTTGCCAAAAGTGAACAGCAAAGCAAGTCTGGACAGGCAGCACCCTGCAGAGGATGTCAGAACAAGGGCCCATTGAGGTCTTTCAGGTCCCAACACCAACCCTTCTGGCTGCTGTGCTACTCGACTTGTACAATGTATGCCATGGACAGGACACCCCACTCATCGATAACGGTGCATCCCAATTACGTTTTGGGTTTTCTCTATGTCCTCTGTACTGGTATATCTACGGTATGCTTAACGCGAACAGGAACATGCCTTTGATTGCGTGTTCATCACATTGGGGATCGACACAGACACCATTGACCACCCCAGTGTTAATGACAGAGCAGCTCGCATCTCCATTATGCTCGAGCCTGTAGGTGCTTTCGCTCATCATGTTTCATTCTTTTTTTTGGTTGACTCAAGCACACCAGCAGTCATGTCCCAGCTCATGTTTGAACAATACTCTGTCCCATTACTGGCATTTTGCATCAATGCACTTATGTCATTCTACTACAGGTACCAACGAACTGCTCAAGACTGGGTTTGAAGCACGTGTTCAGCATGCAGGGAAAGAAAAGGAAAGAGAAGAGCGGGAAGCAGAGGAATGTCATGATGAGGCAGAACGAGAGAATGATTTGATGGTTGGGCTGGAAGGCTGTGTGAGGAACAAGAGGTATATATATTCGATTCTTTGTGTTAACTGCTTGTTGGTGACACTACACTTAGGCGATCATGAGCAGGATTAAGGAGCATGAACAGTCGCAAAGCTGCCCTTTTGGATAGGAACAGTGTTGTTGCAGCAGGCACAGATGAAGAACTATTGCTTCCCTTCCCACAGACGATCGAGTATCAAAGACGAACAGGAAGGCAGGTACAGGTGAGTCTCCATCTGGGCAAGCAGAGTTCACCTGCTGAAGACTGACAGGGCATGGAAAGAGGACATGTTTGGCGCTGACAACGAAGATTGGGCAATATATTGTAAAATCGTACATCCCAGATACCTTTACTCCCATATGTTTATTACCCAACTATGTAACCAGAATACAGTTGCACCATCCTCTGATGAAGAAGACGATATCCAACGACTGCTGCTCGTTGAATCGAAGCTCCTTGCACATGACCCAACCTTTTGCTGCAAGAATCCATTTCAACACCAAATGGTGGCATGTCTGTGAATCATACTTTGCTCTGTTGGTGGCAGGAGCCAATGCTGCTAGAATTGGCAAGGTTTTGCAGACTGTCCCCGCAACATTCACAGACACAGAAAAGGCGCGGTTAGTAAAAGTAAGGCCATATCCTTTGCAGTTATTTCTTGGGGCTGTTTTACTTGTCACTGACCATGATGTCAACACAGAACATATATACTACTGGTGGTCCCTCTCAGTTCTGCGGGCTTTGTGAGCCAGTCTACTCAGCACTTCATCCAATCCTTCCACCTGAGATGGAACTCCTCCAGTCAAGACGGCCCAAGATGCCACGATGGATGCATGGAGGGGAATGGTGACCTTTGCAAACATGGAGGAATTCAAAGATGTAGGGGTTACTTGACAGCAAAATGAGGAGTGGGGCAGTGAGCAGATAAAGAGATGGTGGGGTGGGAACTGGAATGCTGCTCAATGGTCCACTTACAAGCGTGTAGGTAGGAAGTACTTTCATCATTGGGGCCCTTTGCCTTCCTGTTACACTGGAATTCGACCCCTTCATGGTAAGTCAAAAATCGATGCATGCTCACAAAACTGACCACCTGTATTGTCCTTAGATAAAGGTGCAAGCAAGTGACGATATTACAGAGGGTGCGTCCAGGGGCACCCATAGGACTTTGGTATTGTACACTGCCAATTGATGGCAAATTGGCGCTTTCTCACTTATCGATATATCATGCCGCACATTCACCACAACTTCTCACTGTGTAGATCGCCAGCCTGCATTCCCCACTGTTCCTGTCCATGGAATTGTACACTGCCAATCAATGACAAATCGGCACTTTCTCACTTATCGATATATCATGCCAAGCGTTCACCATGACTTCTCGCTGTGTAGATCACCAGCCTGCATTCCCCACCATTCCCATCCATGGAACCACATGTATTGTCCTTAGATAAAGGTGCGAGCAAGCGACAATATTACAGAGGGTGCATCCAGGGCCACCCGTAGGACTTTGGTATTGTACACTGCCAATCGATGATGAATCGGCACTTTCTCACTTATCGATATATCATGCCAAACGTTCACCATGACTTCTCACTGTGTAGATCGCCAGCCTGCATTCCCCACTGTCCCCGTCAATAAAAGAAGACTGCTCTTGACTTGATATTGTAAAATATATTATAAAATGTTTGTGAGCCACAGAGTAACGAATTGCCAGTGCTCTGGCTCTTGTGTACCTCCAGTAATGCCATGCAGCGCAGCACAGTGGGCCGGCTCCAGCTCCAGCAGCCAGTGCATGTCAATGACTCTACTGATGTTTTAAGTTTCATTAAGGCTGGGAGCTGTGCTGGCTCGTGACTGAAACATAAAATGTCAGGCACTCATCAACATGCAGCCAACATCCAAAACAAAGGATGAAATGCCACCAAGACTGTGACCTTCACAACACCCTAAGTCATGACATGTTTACTCCTTGACTGATATTGAAATTTCTGTCAGTGTAGCAGCTCAGCTGCAGCATGTCCAACATTAAGTTTTCCCATAGCATATCAACTCACCTGATTTTAAGTATATCATGCAGGCACTGAATGTACTGCTCTCCACATTTGACATTATTTTTCATCACTGTCCTGCTGCATACAATTCACACATGAAATTTAGGTTCTCAGTTGACTAGCAGCAGTGTTTGTACATGCATAGAATTTAAAATTCTAGTTGGGACATGGACTATTAGTGATGTATACTAGATTTCTAATAACAGTCAAGCTTGTACATCATGGACACCTTACTGATACCTTGGATTTCAGTAGACTTGCAGCACTACACAATGTACTCATGAAATTATAAACTTAGTATGTGTGATGGGTGGGATTCAGATCAACCTGCTACCGAATTATGCCTGGGGTGAGTACTGGCTATAGTAGTTATTAGTGTTGTGTAGTGTAGGCTATGCTACACTTTGGTAGTGCACATTTTTGACTACCATTGACTACAAAAAGTGTAGCATTGAGTGGTAGTGGTCAAGTGACATGACAAAAGATCACATGATACAAGGTCATGTGCAGCGATCACATGACTGATTATGTAATGATCATGTGTGCTGGTGTCGTCCAAATGTGACACTGCCCCAATCACGTGACAGTCACTGCCACGGTCTCGTGACCTGAGATCATGTGACAGAGAGTCACAGAGCAGTGCAGTGGACTGGTCACGTGATCAGGCACCTCAGATGACTGGGGAGGTCTGTCACATGATCTTATTAGTCACATGTAGGCACAAACCCAGTGTCACATGACATCACATGACTGTACTCCCTTCATGTTCGATGCTCTGAACCTGGCACATGACCAAGCTGCCCCTGAATGCATGCTGTTCCAGAGTGTGGCTGTGCTACAACATCAATCATGTTACTACTCATTCATTCCTTGATGGAATGGTCTGTATTTTGGTAGGTGAACCGGACTACATAGTACCTATATCATGTCCAAGGATCAACCAATCAAAACCTGTTGCTGGGATATAACAGGATTGAAAACAGCCAGAAAACATCCCACCATGCATCCCTTACTGGGTGCATGCCATATTTAATACCCCACCTGGATTCACCAGGTCAGCATCTATCTATGTACAAGATTTCAGGGCAGTCCAATTGGAATTGAGTGAACAGGAATCCAATTACACTTCCCAGATGCGTGGGAAAACTTCAAAAAGCGCAAATAAAATAGTGGAGATTGCCAAAACATATCAAAAACATTTCATTGCTCACTCCCTGGTTGGGCTATGGCTACCAGATTTGAGGTGTGGCATGCTAAAGCATGTTCCAAGAATCTGGCACCATGTGCCTTGCAGTAGCACCATCTCAAAGCATCAGAAATGTACATGGGCACATCTGATCAGCAAGTCTAGTAGTGATTTATAGCTTTGAGATGAGCATTACAAAGTGTACCATTGCACCACTTGCACATTTCTGTCACTTTGAGGGGATGCTACTGGTGCCAGATTCTTGGAACATGCTTTAGCATGCCACACCTCAAATCTGGTAGCCATAGCCCAACCAGGGAGTGAGCAATGAAATGTTTTTGATATGTTTTGGCAATCTCCACTATTTTATTTGCGCTTTTTGAAGTTTTCCCACGCATCTGGGAAGTGTAATTGGATTCCTGTTCACTCAATTCCAATTGGACTGCCCTGAAATCTTGTACATAGATAGATGCTGACCTGGTGAATCCAGGTGGGGTATTAAATATGGCATGCACCCAGTAAGGGATGCATGGTGGGATGTTTTCTGGCTGTTTTCAATCCTGTTATATCCCAGCAACAGGTTTTGATTGGTTGATCCTTGGACATGATATAGGTACTATGTAGTCCGGTTCACCTACCAAAATACAGACCATTCCATCAAGGAATGAATGAGTAGTAACATGATTGATGTTGTAGCACAGCCACACTCTGGAACAGCATGCATTCAGGGGCAGCTTGGTCATGTGCCAGGTTCAGAGCATCGAACATGAAGGGAGTACAGTCATGTGATGTCATGTGACACTGGGTTTGTGCCTACATGTGACTAATAAGATCATGTGACAGACCTCCCCAGTCATCTGAGGTGCCTGATCACGTGACCAGTCCACTGCACTGCTCTGTGACTCTCTGTCACATGATCTCAGGTCACGAGACCGTGGCAGTGACTGTCACGTGATTGGGGCAGTGTCACATTTGGACGACACCAGCACACATGATCATTACATAATCAGTCATGTGATCGCTGCACATGACCTTGTATCATGTGATCTTTTGTCATGTCACTTGACCACTACCACTCAATGCTACACTTTTTGTAGTCAATGGTAGTCAAAAATGTGCACTACCAAAGTGTAGCATAGCCTACACTACACAACACTAATAACTACTATAGCCAGTACTGGTACTACATTACCACCCCAGGAAGTGTAAATGGAGTGATGTCATCATAATAAAAGTTGTAGCCCCTGATTGTACAATCATGACCATATGCTTATCTTATCAGAAAGTGGAATTTTTCGTGAGAAAAACACAAAACACTTGGAAAAACACAATTGTTTACATTAAATGTCACTTCTCCACAGTTAGATGGAGACTCCCCATACCCACTTGGAGATTCCCCACACCTGCTTGGAGATTCTCCCAACCCACTTGGAGATTCCCCACACCTACTTGGAGATTCCCCACACTTGCTTGGAGATTCTCCCAACTCACTTGGAGATTCTCCCAACCCACTTGGAGATTCCCCACACCTGCTTGGAGATTCCCCCAACTCACTTGGAGATTCTCCACACCTGCTTGGAGATTCTCCCAACCCACTTGGGGATTCTCCACACTTGCTTGGAGATTCCCCACACCTACTTGGAGATTCCCCACACTTGCTTGGAGATTCTCCCAACCCACTTGGAGATTCCCCACACCTGCTTGGAGATGCTCCCAACCCACTTGGAGATTCTCCACACTTGCTTGGAGATTCCCCACACCTGCTTGGAGATTCCCCCAACTCACTTGGAGATTCTCCACCCCTGCTTGGAGATTCTCCCAACCCACTTGGGGATTCTCCACACTTGCTTGGAGATTCCCCACACCTGCTTGGAGATGCTCCCAACCCACTTGGAGATTCCCCACACTTGCTTGGAGATTCTCCACCCCTGCTTGGAGATTCTCCCAACCCACTTGGGGATTCTCCACACTTGCTTGGAGATTCCCCACACCTGCTTGGAGATGCTCCCAACCCACTTGGAGATTCCCCACACTTGCTTGGAGATTCCCCACACCTGCTTGGAGAATCTCCCAACCCATTTGGTAAACAAAAGCCTCATTTGGGTCCTTTTTGGTATGGGGAAAGTCCCATGGAGACCCTATTTCAGCTGGAGAAAGCACCATTTGGTGTGGAGAAAGTCCCATGGAGGCCCTATTTCAGCTGGAGAAAGCACCATTTGGTGTGGGGAAAGTCCCATGGAGGCCCTATTTAAGCTGGAGAAAGCACCATTTGGGTCCTTTTTTGCATGGAGAATGGCCCATTAAGGCCCTATTTCAGCTGGAGAAACTCTCATTCTGGTCTATTTTTGCATGGAGAAAGTCCCATGGAGGTCCTATTTCAGCTGGAGAAACCCCCATTTGGGTCCTTTTTGGCATGGAGAATGTCCAATGGAGGTCCTATTTCAGCTGGGGAAACCCTCATTTGGGTCCTTATTGGCATGGAGAAAGTCCAATGGAGACCCTATTTCAGCTGGAGAAAGGCCCATATGGACCCCAGTCACTCTGACATATTTGGGGAAAAATATATTAATTGTGGAGAAATCCATTTCTCCAGCACTATCCCAGGAGAAATCCAAAGGGGGCCTGGAGAATCCCCAGGCATGGTGCTGGAGAAAAAACTTTCCCTGCCAGTGGTTGGGGATACCCAACCTGTCAAGACCTCATAGGTATATACATCTGTAGAAACATGTAGACCTAATAGGTCTCCAAAGGTGGTTGACTGAAGTGGGGGTGTCAGCATTCCCTGTAATGATGGTTTGAATGATATACTGCCCAGTACCCAGTCAATTGATGGATTGATGCAGGTGAGGCAGTTATGTCCTAATACCAGTGAACATGAAGAATCCAATGGAGTAACATGAAATGACACAGAGTTGACATCACCAGAAGGAAAGTGTAGGGAAAGATCTACTTCTTGGGAAATGACAGCATTTGTACTACCATCAAACAAGTGGAGTGGAATTGGCAGAGAAATGGAGGAAACAGGAATAGCATACTTTTTGATTATGGACAGGTCTATGAAACAATGAGAAGAGCCAGAATTGATCAATGCAGAAACAGTATCAATAGAATAATCAAGAAGTGTTACAAATGGCAGTAAAGAGTTTGGACTAGAGAGAGTGGACACATTGAGTCAGATATCTGGTTGTGCACAGTTGGGATCAACACTTCCTCCAGGCTGTGTGAGCTCCCTGGAGGAGCAGACTAATTTTTTGGCTCTGCCTTCT